CTTGCACTTGCACTCTCTCAGACTTGCACTCTCAGACACTTGCGCTTCCGCAAGTGATGTCACTTGCAGTCTTTTTTATTTTGTTCTATTTATTGATTACTTTTTGTTTGAATCTCTCAACATTTTACAACAGTAGCCAGGTCGTGAAGACAAGAAAAAAGAATCTAAATTATGAAGTCACTTGCAATCTTCACTTGCACTCTCCGCTACCTGCGACGTCACATGCAATCGACAGAAATCGTGCGTGTTGCCAATGGAGACAAGACGCTGTGGTGATTAAACGATTAAAACGAATTTAGTACTATAACGTACAGGGTCCTGCAAGAAAAAGACAAGACCCCCAAATCCGTGGCTACAGAACAGCAGAATATGAACGCAATGCACAAAGTCTCTCGTTAAGCGTTTTCCTCCTGTAGAAAAACATAAGTAATATGGCTTAATGTATTAAGATACATTACGTGCAATTAAAAAATCAAATTTGATATATTATTTAATGTACTACAAGGCAAGCAGATGGCCATGAACACAATGCGCAAACTTTCACTTGTCCTCCAGCAAAACGCTTAATGTGGCATAATAATGGACTAAAATGATAAAGACAATTCAGTATTCAGTATTGAGTCTTGTTGTTGACTCAAAGTATACACAGACCAGCAAATATGAACGTGCATTATGAAATGCATTAAGTGTTATTAAAAGGAACAACTCCGTACAGGCAAGCAGACGGGCCCAGAACGCAATGCGTTAAATTGCACGTTAAAACTTTTTCCTCCCATAGAAAATCATTATAAATAAAACACGTAAAATGGACAAAGACAATGATATAAAAGATCTGTAGACAGTTTATTCTATATGGATAAACGCTTAACGCGAAACTTTGCACGTTGCGTTTATTCTGGGCTCACCTGCTTGCCTGTACATATTAGTTATGTATATTTTAATAATGAAGAGGAGCATATTGAGTTTTGTCTTTATCATCTTAGTTATGCCACGTTTTGCGGTATGGGAGGAAAATACTATATACACATTCATTATATAAATAAACTGTATATTGAATTTGATATTTTGATAGCATTTTAATACATTAAGCCATATTATATAAGCCATATAAGCCAAGACTTTGCGCATTGCGTTCATATTCTGCTGTTCTGTGGCCACAGATTTGCGGGTCTTGTCTTTTTCTCCTACAGATGACTTGCAGGACCCTGTAAGTTACGGTACTAAATTAGTTTTAATCGTTTAATCACCACAGCGTCTTGCCTCCATTGGCAACACGCACGATTTGTGTCGATTGCAAGTGACGTTGCAGGTAGCGGAGAGTGCAAGTGGCGATTGCAAGTGACTTCATAATTTAGTTTCTTTTTTCTTGTCTTCACCACCTGGCTACTGTTGTAAAATGTTGAGAGATGCAAACAAAAAATAATAAATAAATAGAACAAAATAAAAAATAAAGACTGCAAGTGACGTCACTAGCGGAAGCGCAAGTGTCTGAGAGTGCAAGCCTGAGAATGCAAGTCTGAGAGTGCAAGTGCAAGTCTGCAGCCAGACCCTCTTGTCAATTTCGGCCGCAAACTTTCCCTTTTCCTGTGGCAGCACTGCAGCGCAGATGTCCACGACCTTCTGTTTAATGTCTTCGCCTTCATGTTCGGCAAGACCATGAAGCCTCAAGTTCCAGCGCCTTCTATATCTCTCCATTTCGTTCACTTTAACTTCCAGATCCAGTATTTTCTTGTCATGGGTAATGCTCGATGTTTTCAGTGCTTTGATGTCATTGATCTCACGAGACAAGAATTCGGTGGATTTCTGGAGAGCCTCAATCCCGTCAGAGTTCTTTTGATTGATTTTTTCCAAACCGTCAGTTCTTTCGTTAATTTTTTCTGTCAGCATTCTGACGATGTTATTTTGCAGGTCGCGGAGGGATGGCTCGTTCTTTGATTTCTTTGAATCGGGGGTATGCGGAGCCGAATCAAGTTCTGTCAAACCTTTAGAAAGCAAAATTTCACGTTGCTGTTGGATTTGTGCATAATCATGCACCTCCGCGATTTCCTGTTCAGCATCCATCCACACCTCTTGAGGGTCTTGGAACTTGGTCTCTCTTTGCGTTTTCCAGCCATAGCTTAGTGACGTCAATTAGCTTGCACGTTAACGGCGATTAAAACTTACTAATGAGATATATTTACAACAACAAATACAGCTGAAAAGTGGAGTAAACAAGATTACAGAGTTATTACTCGATCAGGGTAATATAATTAATACAAAGGGTGGGAATTGGGAGAAGAAAGTTCTTGACCTCACAGATTAACATCCTCCACGGTCGCCATCTTGCGCCCCCGCCCCCAAATTAAAAATAGTTCAACTTTCGCCAATAGTATGTTCCTGCACAGCAAGGACACACGAAATTGATCAAAAGCGACAGTAAAGACACTTATACGCAGAATTGTGAGATGTTAATGTTAAAAAAGTCAGAATTGTGAGATTAAAAAGTAGGGTTGGCCGATACCTATGTAACCGGTATGTACTAGAACCGAATCAGAACGCAGATTTCAGTGCCTCATTTCGGTAATAGTATGTTCCTGCACAACCGGAGGCTGCAGTTTCAGGACCGCAGTTCTAGGACCGCAGTTCTAGGACCCTATTCTTTTGTAACAGCGCCACCTACCGAATTGGAGCACTAAAGATGGATGACATGGACAGCAATCAGAGTGAGTAACTTTACCGATTTTCAATTAAGTTTTATTTTATAACCTTAAAACGATGCAAAGTTTACGTAGCCAACGTGAGAACTGCTAAGAAGTAATAATTAATTCCCGATTGCTAGTTTTATTGATTATTACGATGTTCTTCATTCGTGGCCATGATTTAATTAAGCTAAACCTTGTTGATATAATGACTACAATAAGTGTAAATTCATTTAAATTTAAAATTGTTAACTCAAAGCAGGTATTACACACTTTGTAATTAACATCTGATGCATTTATAAATCAAAAATCACAATTGAAATTAAAAAAAATGTTCCTGAGATTCAATATCTTTAACAACATGTACAAACATTACTACAAACTAAACCACCAGGGTCCTAGAAATGCGGTCCTGAAACTGCAGCCTCCGCTATATTATCCAATTCGGTAGGTGGCGCTGTGGCGCTCCGGTTGTGCAGGAACACCCTTTTTTTTTTCTTTTTTTTTTTAATTGCAGAGAACGGAAACATACAAAGAATAAGCATACATCACATAATATCAACCACAAAAATAAAATGGAAACAAATCACAAAAAGAATAACATAAAGATAAAGATAAGAGGGCCATCATCTAAACATGATTACATGAAGAGATCAAAGGCAGAGCAAATCCTAACAGTCCTTATAGCTTTCTTATTAGTAGATACTGAAATTACATTCAAATAATTTTCCATTTCTTTTAGGCTGAGCTCAGTGACGATTTTCCGAGCAGCCAATAGAAATGGGGCATCCAAACAATCGCGGAAAGCAAATGGATGAACAGTGTGTGACTGAATTTCCGGAGCTATACAATACAAGTTTGCGGTCCTATAGGGATATCAGGAGAAAAGCTGTGTCATGGAGACATATCTCAAATCAAGTTGGCATGTCAGGTAGCTTGTTGTAGGTAGGTAGGCACAGGGCCCCTGCTGGCCAAATGGGTGCTCTAAGCAGTATTGTATTGTTGTGCCCCCCTTCCTCAAATATTATGGAAGTAAAAAAAACACATAGGGGTCAAAATAGAACTTTAATCAAATATAAAAGTAAATAAATAAATACATTTTATTATTTACAAATTACAATTGTAACTCTAGACAGTTACCTATGGCTATGACTTTATTAATACAGTTGTCTAATTGATTTTATAGTCTCAAGCATTCAGAAATCATGCAAAAGAAAATTAAGCAGTTTTACTATGATAAAACCATGGTTTATTTTTGTAAGGGTTGTGATGTCCACATGTTTTTTGTTTAAGAAATTATAGCGGCTGTGTCATCTATTGCAAAAAGCTGGCCAAAAATGAAAGATTAAGTGAATATTTGAATTAAATGTTTGACCAATTGCCTAAACAAGGATTTGATTGTCCTGTACGTGTAGCAGCAGCAGGCCAACAGCCTAAACAAGGATTTGATTGTCCTGTACGTGTAGCAGCAGCAATTACCAGGCCTTTGGCCTTCGTTTTCACCTTTTTTTTCTTTCTTTTTCTTTTCTCTGCGCCGGATTGCTGATGTCTTTTCACCGGCATAGATGTCCATCCATCAGTTATGATCATTTGCATTCAGCCACAAACATGAGGTGCAAGCGGTCGCGAGTGCGGATGGGGGAATGGCGCGTCAAGGTTTTTTTTGGATGGTGCCCCCCTGGGAGTTGGTGCCCTACGCAAACTGCGTACTCTGCGTATAGGGGCCGGCGGTACTGGGTAGGCAATATGCTACCCAATATGAATGAACCCAGAGGCCAGCGCAGCGCATTCGGCGTCCTGTCTGAAAGGGCCATAAAATGGTATGCAAAGTAACATAGCACTATTTTATTTCAGAGGGGGGTTTTTTCTACTCATTTTGTTGCACATTTGACTATTATTAATGTGCCAGTTCAGGGTTTTGTTACTTGAAAGATTCATGGTTCAAGGTACTTTAAAATATACACTGTGTATGTGTATGCTCCTGAAATAAAAGTTATATTATATATATATAGTTATATATATAAATAAGCAAACAAAATCACAATAAATTGTAATATCGAATCACAATAGTTATATAATCGCAATACTCAATTATCGCAATATATATTGAATCGGCACACAAGTATCGGGATAGTATTGAATCGGCAGATTAGCGTATCCACGACTTTAGAAAGCTGGCAGCATCATTATTTTATTTTTACAGAGATTGGTAGGTCTGTTAGTAAAATCTGTTGGCTTAAACCATTTTTGTTTCATTATATGCTAATGGTGACAGTTCAAAAACAGCAAAAAGCACTTAGTGTGTTTTTTGCCTCAAGTTTGCATGCCTGTAACTCGAAAGGTATTAAAGATATCTTAATATCCTTTTAGATTCTGGTTCTTATCAAACTTTCCTTTTGGTATCTTCATTTTAAAGGCCCTTGATGGTTTAATCCCAGAGATATGGAGATCTTAATGCTGCTCCATGAGTAAACGACAATTTTACACATTTTCAATTGTCAAAAATCAAATGTGAGGCATTTTGCATACAGCTGATACATTTTTCTATTAAAGAGGAATATCTGAAGAACAAATCATCTTGAATCTAAAAATGTATCTCGTGATTTTCTATCAACACAGTTGCGTAGAACATACCAGAGTATAGGTATAGGAGTTCCATAAATATTCTTTTTCCAAAGTTTGCATGCCTGTAACTCTAAAAGTATTCAAGGTAATGTAATATCCTTCTAGATTCTAATTCTTAATAAACTTTCCTTTTGAAATCTTAATTTTCAAGGCCCCATATAGTTCATTCCTATAGATATGGGTATTTCAAAGATATGGAGACCTTAATGCGGCTCCATGAGTAAATTGGTAAATTGTTCACATTTTCAGTGGTCAAAAACCAAATGTGGGTCACTTTGCATACAGCTGATACTTTTTTCTTTTAAATTTTACATTTTTTAAATGTTATTTTTTTCTATTTTGATTGTCTTCCTAATGAAAAAAAAATAAAAAATTTGAGCCGGGGAAGTTTCTCAAAATTTGGTTGATTAGTCACGGAATGACCCTGTTGTCTTTAGTTAAGTTAATGTAGCATTACTGATATGATGAGACTCTTTTCACGTTTCCCATTTACATGATACACTGAGATACATCTCAGTAACCATCTATGTTGTAAATACATGCTTTAATATGATAATGGTGACGTTTGTGATCAGAACTGCCAATAAGTTTGATTAAGACCATCACACACTTACACAAAACTCACCACACCTATGATTTATGATTCTTTTTTTTTTTTATTCTGCTTGCAACAGAGGTCAAAATAAAAAAGTGTGATCAAATCCTGTCACTTAGAAAATAGACTAGAATAGACTAAATAGTTGTAAAGTAGTATACAATACAGAATATTCCAGTAAATGCTCAGTGATATCTGAACCATGCCTTTGGCGGTCCTCACCATCACAATAACCATTAATAATCATTCAGTTGTATAATAAACACTTTTTTTTTTTTTACCTGTTTTGAAGGTCAGAGGAAAAAGAAGTAATACGAGTATGTGATTTACTGACATTCTCCTAAATTAAAAAGATTAAAAACTTAAAAAGAAACAGAACTCAAAATGACTGCCGCCGCATTGACTTCCTAGTAGAAACGGAAGTTCAGTTTCACACTGATGAGAAAAAAACAAGTTCCTGCTAAGCCTCAGAGGTCCTGGGTGTTAATCTGAAATAAAACAAAAGAGCAATAAACCTAAAAAGACAAAATGATGGAAAGTCAAGTTACGTGTAGAAACACATTTCGACAAACATCTCTCCATCTCATTATTAATGTACATGTGTTTGCATGTACCGCGTCAATCTCTCAAAAGGTGTTTAATAGATTTTTACACAATTTTTAAAGAAAGACAGTTTTGCATACAACAACTTCACACTTCATCTTTGCACCACATCCTTCCTTTCTCACGTCTACTCTGCTGGAATAAACCATTTCTGAATTCAGCAAAATACACTTTTTACACTCTGCACATTTTGACACTGACATCAAGATGCATATAGAACCACAAGTTACAAAAGGCAACAGAGGAAACTCTGCAATGTTGCTTGGAAACAGTGAGATGTCACAAGAATCAGTTTTATCTCAGCTCAGCCTGTGGCGGAAACATGAGCATCAAAATAAGAACGAAACTTTCCGGTGTTCAGTCAGTTGTGACTCTTCCTACTCCTACTCTGCAGGATGTGAGTTTACTACTTCCCTAATGAAACAAGGGCTGCTCAGAATGAATGAAGGATGAGAAATAGGAATATCCTCAAACTTATTTAGATGAAAACAAAAACAGAAACTACTCTGGAAACTAAACACGTGGTGTGTTATCGCCATGTACAGTATGTAAAGATCTGCATACTGAAACCACACAAAATAACACAATGTCAAACCATATGGCATCTACAAAAAAAAAGATGCTCGATCTTTTCTCAACTAACTTCACTTTTTTTTTCTTTCTTCTTTTTTCCTTTGCAATGACTGTTAATTAGTGGTTGTTTTCATGGTTGGCTGTACCTCAGTTAACCATGACCACAAGTGTCACAACATTTTATTTTAGATTTTGGACAGTATATTTACATTAATGCATTTGGCAGATGCTTTTATCCAAAGCAGCTTACTTTGCATTGAAGGTAATATATAAATTTTATCAGTTCATTCATTCCCTTGAAATATAATTAAAAGTGTGGT